CATAATTTCATTTTTTTCTGTTTCATGCAAAAAGTCCAAAAGGGGTTTCCAATCAGCATTGGACTTAATCAGCGTCTTTTCTCTAATCAAAGCTGTCAATTTAGCCATCTCAGCAAACTCCATCATCTTCGCGATCCCCTCTTCCATTGTGGGTAATGTCAAATTCTTCCACCATTGTGCATATAAAAGTCTTGCTGCTGTTATCATGTATAAAAACAAAGTTCCATGATTTTTTTCCAACTCTTTCTCCATCAGTCCCAAAAGAAACATCTCTAGCTTCATTTGTATATTAATGTTTAAAATCTTCTGAATGAAAGTATGTATTTGGATCCAACATTTTTTAGCGTTTTTACACGTCCACCAAGCATGATAAAAAGTCCTCTCCTGTTGTTCACATTTCCAACATATATTTGAAGTACCTTTATACATTTTAGACAATGTTTCCAGCGATAATCATTTTATAAAAATTCTCTTTAAGATTATAACATAATGTAAATTTCAGTCCTTTCATCCGCATATTCTCCCGTTGTTCCATTTGTATGTTATAACCAAAAATTTTGGTCCATTTTATCATGCATTCCTTCACTTCTTCTGTTTCAAATCTCAATAAAAGTTTATACATTTGATTTCCTGTAACTCTAAATGATGCTATTTTCATATTTCATTTCCCCCCAGCAATTGTGTATTATGTATCTTTTCTGCAGATCTAAACTCATGGAATGACCAGCTTTTCTCCACATGGAAGCTGAAAAGAAATTGCATAGTGTCATAGAAGGAACTAGATCTGTAACTGAGTCCTCAGCCCCTCTCACTAAACTACACTTCCCAAAATGTTGGGAGGAATCTTAAAATCTTAGAGTTGGGAGGAGCTGCTGAGGTCAACTTCCTGCTCAGTTCAGCAATCTAAATTGAAACATCCTGAAAAGCTGGCTATCCAGCCTCTCCTTGAACAAATCCAATAAAAAGGACTTCAGCACCTCCTTAGGGATCATTTTCTTTATCAAACTGCTCTTTCAGTTAGGATTTTTTCCCCTAACCTTCAATCACAATTTGCCTCTTTATAATGGATATCCATTATTCTCTATCTGCAATGATAGAAAACAGGCTATTTCTATATGATTGCAGTAGGAAAGTCGTGTTATTCTGTGGTAGCCAAAAATCGGGAGATGTCTGGTGGCACCTTTTCAGACCAATAAATTTTAATAAAAGGCATAAGCGTTTGTCTCGTAATAAAAGTGATTAGTCTGAAAAGGTGTTACCAGACTTCTTCTCATTTCTCTATGATGCCTGTTTGGTACCTGAAGAGTGTTACAATATCTTCCTTCAATGCTTTCTTTTCTAAACTTTCCCAGTTCTAAAATGCAGATCTCATCTTATCTGTGGCTGTTCTCTCTCTTCCCCATCCTGTCCCCCCCCCCCCCCCCAAA